CTATAGTTTTAGAGTAGAGGTCTTTGATTTCTTTTGTTAGGTTGATTCCTATGTATTTCAATTTTTTGGATGTTATTGTGAAAGGAATTGATTGCCCCATTTCTCTCTCAGTGAGTCTGTTTGTCCTGTACAGGAAAGCCATTGATTTTTGTGTGTTGAATATCCAGCTACTTTAGTGGATTTGGTTATTAATTCTAGAAGACTTTTGGTGGAGTTCTTGGGGTCCTCTATACAGAGTATTATGTCATCTGCAAATAATGACAGTTTGACTTCATTTCCTGTCTATTCATTTTATTTCTTTCTCTTGTCTAATCACTGTGGCTAACGTTTGGAAAACTATTTTGAACAGGAGTAGTGATAGTGGACATCCTTGTCTTGTTTCAGATTTTAGTGTGAAGGATTTCAGTGTTTGACCATTTAGTATGCTATTGGCTGTTGTTTTTTTCATAGATGGCTTTTAGCCAGTTGAGTTAGAGACCATCTATTCCAATGTTCTGCAGGGTTTTTATCATGAATGTATGTTGGATTTTGTTGAATGCTTTTTCTGCATCTATTGATTGGTACTTTATTTATTTATTTATTTATTTATTTGCCAGCATATGCCATGATGTTATATACAAGTAAAGACAATCATAAGTTCCATCTAAATCTGTACTTAGTAGTATTTGGTCTTCTGTTTTGTCTATATCCACTGACAGGATTTTATGACTTTTTGTTGTCTTGATTTTATTGTAGTGGATTATGTTAATTATTTTAAAATGCCTTTGATACTTTTAATAATTCTCTATTGTCAATAATCTACATAAAGAGCAATGAAATTTCATATTGTTTAGTGATTTCCAGTTTTATTTTGCTCTTTTTCTAAATTTCTGATATTGTGACCTTTCTTCTTTTTACTTATACAATCCTTAATATTTCATTAAGCCTTGCATATGAAACATATGTCTTTCAAAATGATTTAATGTAACTCTTAGGAGTGTTTTAAATATGTTTCTACTGTTGGTGGTGTCAGATTTCATTTCAATAGGTCTGAGAGCCTTCTTTGCACAATTTTCATTACTTGGAACACTTTAAATTTTTCCTGGTCTTCTTTTTTTTTACTTTTATTGCTGTATGTCTTACTGTACATCATTGATTATATATATTGTAGAGAGTTGGTACATATCCCAACATACTTTAATTACATTGCCCCTAGAAATTAAGTTTTCTATTGTTGCTCTGAACATGCTATATTTGGCAAGTATTTCTTGTGGTTTTGAGAAGAGCTTTGTACTGGGTAGTTATTAAAGCATTATGCAGTATCCATTCAGTCCCCGTAAAACATAATGTTAATTTTAACTGTTCTCTTGCAGATGTTTCTTCTTTCTTCAGCTATCAATTACTGATGGAGTTGTTTTGATGTCTTCAGGCATAGTTCTGTATCAGGGACTGTTTTTAGGGAACTACCTTTATATCATTATCTGAGCACTGTATTCATTATTTTGAGGTACAATTGAATAATGTCAAGTTAAAATAGCTTCTGCAGGTTTTGTTGAATTGTTGATAGACTAGTGTGTCTTTTTGCATAGCTTTCTGTGTATTTTATCCTCATCAGTGTCAATATAACAAGCACTTCTGTCCAGATGGGCACAGCATTGGGCCCGTAACCCAGATGTATAGACATTGATCAGCTGTGATATCTATTCTCTCTTTCTCTGATAGTCTCACTTGTCCTCCTGGTGGGCAGTGCAGAGTTTGACCACTGCTTGCTGGGGGTGTGGGGCTCTCCTATTTGCTCCTGTGCTGCTTTGCTCATTGCTGCCCAGGGGTGAAGGGTGTCTTATCTTTTCATATATGAATGCAGACAGATATAAATTAATGTGTATTTTCTTAATGGTAATTTAGAGTTTAAATATTTTGCAATAAATTTTATTTTCAAAATTATTGAGGAGACAACACTAATAACAGTGTAAATATCCTGAGAATATTCATAAAGTTTCTTCAGTGGACCTTGGGCAATGGACAGCAACATCTAGGTGATTGTTACCCTAGCTGGATTAAGCCTCTCTCTCTTGCCCTTTGGATGATCTCTCTCTCTCTCTCTCTCTCTCTCTCTCTCTCTCTCTGTCTCTCAACTTTTCCTATCTCTGAACCACATACTTTTAGTTTCCTCCCTTGGAATTTTCACTATTATAGAAATTGCAAAAAGAACTATTTTCAGAGGGTTCTTTTCCTCTTGCTATTTTTCACACATGCTGATATGTAATCAAGAGCCAAGTGCTTTCTCATCTATTTCATTGGTTATGTGATTTGGGGTATTTCAAGGTTACTTGAAAAGAATCACATCTGTTTCCAGAAAAACTAGCGCAGTATATTCTGTGGACATTGGAAAGAACTTACTGGTCTGTATGTTTTGGCAATCACTAAAGTAAAGGAAATGACAACTTATTCTCCATTGTTACATAAGTCTACATCCTTATTGTGTTCTTCCACATTTCCATTTTTTTAAGTCATGTTATCAAAAAAAGTTAGATTCTTGTTATTTATTCAGTGTTGTGTTTTTTTTTCCATTAAGTTTATTAGTGCATTGAAAGCAAACAATAACAGTTACATTTATCATTGGGATCTTGTACCTTTACATGCTGTATCTTGTTTCTTGTTTTTTCCCCATACCCCTGTCCTCCCTTAACCCTCTTCACCCTTCCTTATTTACAAAAACTTGTTTCCATTTTGTCTTTTCCCTTATTTCCTTTCCCCTCCCCTTCTCACTTTCCCTTCAGCCATTTTCACATTCCCAATTATACCATTTGAACCTTATTTACACTTGTAGTTTTTCACACCAGAGAAATTATTCAGAATTAACTCAAGTGTGTCCTATTTATTTCACCTAAAAGTGTAGCCTCAATTTGTATACATTTCGTTATATATGTCTCTAATTTCTCAGTCTTTATGGCTGAGTAGTATTCCATTTTATAGAAAAGTCACATCTTCTTTATCCAGTCTGCAGTTGATGGGCTTTTGGGTTGTTTCCAAGTTTTAGCTATTACAAACTGTGTCACTATAAACATGGGTACACATATATCACTGTGGTATGATTCTTTTAATTCTTCTGGAAAAATACCCAGCAGAGGAATAGCTGGGTCAAATGGAACCTCTAATCCTAGTTCTCTGACGCATCTCCAAACTGATTTCCACAGTGGAATGTTTTCTCTTGAGTTAATTATACTGTAATCATTTTTTTAGGTTTGTGTTCATTGATCTTTACAAATCTTTATTCTGCGTACATACCCAATATTTTCTTGTCTTGTTTTTATGCCATGGTTTTCATGTATTTCATCTTCTCCTTGTACTTCTTTCTGATAGTTACTTGATTTTCTTCTGAGGAAAACTTATTTTTCACATTTAAAAAGTTATTTCACTATGAATTCTCAAGGCATTCAAGGTTACCTTTCCCATTTTAATATGTAATTTAATTATTGCATGTAGATTATACAACCCAGGTTTCCATATATATACACCTGCTTCTCCATGAATATAAATGAAACATATTGTGATTTCTTCCAGAGTTGTATAACACGAGCTCTGTCAAGAATCAATATCCCACATACATGTGGGCCCGCTGTAGTCTATCTTCTGTTCCTGAGATCCATTTGTCATTTTCTCTGCTAATAGCACAGTCTCATGAAAGGTGGGATTGGAATGTCTTTCATGTACATTATGGAAGCTTCTCATTTCATGCATAGATGGTATTGAATGGCAGTTTTCCTTTTTTGCAGGATATTTGAGGCAGGATCTCACTTTGTATTTTGGACTGGTCTTGATCTTACTATGCAGCTGAGGCTGGCCTCAAACACAGGGCAATCTTCCTGTTTCAGCCTCCCATGTGCTGGGATTACAAGCATATACCACTACATGTGGTTGAAATTTCCTGTTTCTAAAACAGTTGTATTTATCTTGGTTTTTTGAAACAGGGTCTCACTATGTCATTCAGGGTGGCTTTTAATTCACTGTGTAATCCAGGCTGGCCTTTGCAATCCTCCTGCCACAGCCTCCCGAGTGCTGGTATTACAGATGTGCACCATCATACCTGGCTCTGAAACTTTCCTTCTGTGCCTGATTACTCTGTGATACACTGGTTTTCAGTGTAATATAATTTAATTTATTCAGCTTCCCTTCATACTCCCCTAGAATTTCTTATATCTGAGAGCAAGGTGACCTTGAGCTATAGATAAGATAATTCACCAGCCTTTCCTTGCTTTCCTTATTTTCATAGACTTGTTTCTATAAAACTTTTTCTATTAACATTTTAATTATTCATATACCATATTTGATGTTCACTTATTTTTTTTTTCTGTGAAACCAAATTCAAGTTTTAAAATGCCAGCTGGGGATGCAGCTCAGCAGTGCTGCACCTGCCTGGCAAATGCAAGAAAGATCTTGAGTTTGATTCCTGGTATTGAAAAAAAAAATTATCTCAAAATGCTGCTTGCACATAGTTAAAGAAAGAAGGACTCAATGCCATAAATGAAGAGATATAACCTATGGTCTGTCAAAGCCATTCATTAGATTTTCATCTGCCCTAGTGGGGGGTGATCTTGTATGCTCCCTCTATGAGCTCTGCTTTAGAGACAGTGCACAGATACCTTCCAGTGATCCAGCAAAAGAACCAATGCTCCTGTTCTGCTGTTGCTTTAGCAATGAGTGGCAACTTAGAATCAGAATTGCTGTCTGAAAAAATGTATTTATTCATTGAATTGATGAGCAAGACATGGAATTAATATTTGAAGGATTCAGCCTCCATTCAGCTTTTTGCTTTCTTTTGCTCTATTGATACAAGGTCTAACTATCTAGATCAGGCTGGCGTTGAACTCACGGTGGAGCCCATGCTACTCGTGAACTCATGCCTCCTGAGTGCTGAGATTGTGGACCTGCATCACTACACCTGTCTCACATTTTAACTTTTTGAGAGGAGTCGAGATCTCAGGTTGTGAGTCTCAACCTTAATATGTGTTATCATTTAGGAGGCAGTGAGTTTTGAGGATGTGGCTGTGCACTTCACCATGGAGGAGTGGGCTTCATTGAATCCATCCCAAAAGAAGCTCTACAGAGATGTGACAGCGGAAACCCTTAGGAACCTGGCTGCTGTAGGTAAGGATGACATCACTTTCTCATCTGTACAATCAGAGAATACTGTTTGTTTCTCATCAGTGCTGTTTCATTACAAAGAATATGAAAACATTTTGAAGAACATCTGAGGCCTGGTTATATTATACCATGTATCTGATTGGACTCTATTACTTTTCATCTACTAATATATTGTCTCCTTATATTTCTGTGACTACAATTCAGGAAACACCTTGGATAACCAGGAAGTTGAAGAAGAATACAAAAATTACTGGAGAAACCTAAGGTAATTTACACTCACAAGAAAAATGAATGTTCCACAGAAGTCAGGGTGTGAGCAGAAACAGGACAATCCAGGAAATGAGGCCAAGTTCAATTAATGTCACAGATACTCTCCAAGGGTGTGTACAGCTTCAGTATGCATAATCTGACAATCAAATTATGAAAGTGCATGTAGATGCACTTAGGTATTGTATATAGGTGTATATGCTTATTCAGAAGTTTGAGTTTTGACAGGAAGCCCTCATTAGGATATCTATTTTGGTATCCAGGTGAATAGAAGGCATTCATTGTCTAAAACTTGCTCACCTGGGAGCAGTATTCAAAGTAGAAATGAATACTAATGTTGTAATAGGTATTTTCAAGCCATTCTCTAGAGAAGTGAGTCCATTCATGATTTAAAATTCTTAGATGGCACCCTCCAACAGTACTAGTGGAATATTAAGTACGGCCACTAGGATGATCAGTACACAGATGTCTCAAAAAAGTGTAATCAGGCGTATTTCTAATGGGTATATTCTCAGAAGGGTTAATGTTATACAGATACATGTGTACCCATACTCAAAGCAGCTCAATTTATAACAGCTAAGCCCTGTAATAAGCTTACATATCCATCACTGAATGCACAGATAGAGAAAACTGTTGACAGGCTCAGTGTGATTTGCATTCTTACAAACCCAGCACTCTGGGAAGCAGATTCTGCAGGATGGTAAGTTGAAGCTCAGAAAGAGCAACTTCATTATCTATGAGACTCTCTCAAAATACCAACTAAAAGTACTGGAAATTTTGTGCTAATACCTGTGTTTAATTTCCAACACCAAAAAGATAAAGGAAATGTGCTTTATAATCAGTCAAAAAGATCAATATCATGTCATTTGTCAAAAGAAATAAGTGGGTCTTCATCACATAATGTTAACTGAAATATTCAGCCATAAAATATGAAATGTCACATGATTTTTCTTATATGAAAGACCAAAAAATGTGAATTAAGCATATAATAGAGGAGAGGAGATAGAAAAAGGAAAAGCTGGGTTTTTGGAGATGGGAAAGACAAACAGGGTAAGGAGGGAAGGGGAAGAGGAATGGGGGAAAGGTATGAAAATGATCAGTATGTGTTACATATATTTAAAAATTACCCTAAATGAAACTAAATATTCTGTATTGCAGAATGTACCAACTTCAAAATTCCCAAATGAATACCACCCTTTTGGGAATGGCTGTTTTGAAGGTATCCTCTAAGGCAGTCAGTGAATTCATTTCCAAAATTTCTTAGCAGGCATCAAAGCAAAACTTGCTCTGGTAAATCAATAATACAGAGACCCACTTCACTGTTACTTTTTTCTTTACAGAAACAAAGAGGTAGTGGAATACTATCATTGTAAATCTTGGAATCAACATGAAGAAGTATTCCTTTGTAATCCACGTACTAATTTGGATGTTAAACAAGCTGACTTAACACCAGCTGAAAGCCTTGCTTGTAGGCAGGCTCTGATTGGGCCTTTGTCACTAACAGTGCCTATCATTGCTCACACTGCACTGAAGCCACATAAACACTTGGGATCTGAAGAGAAGGTATATAAAGGTAATCAACATACAAGACACTCCAGTGATTTACAGTCCCTTCAAAAGCATGCAAGATCACAGGATGGAGAGAAACCCTGTGAATGTGATCAGTGTGGGAAATCCTACTCTGATCTTAGTGAAAGAACTCAAGTGAAAGATAAAGGTTCTGTATGTAAGAAAAATTTGAAATCCTCCAGCACAGACAGTGATGTTCAGATCCATGAAAGAAATCACAGTGGGGAAAAACTCTATGTATGTGAGCACTGTGGGAAAGCTTTCAGTACGTGTAGTGCTTGTCAAAGACATGAAAGAATTCACACTGGGGAGAAACCCTATGTATGTAAGCACTGTGGGAAAGCTTTCAGCACACATGATAGTTGCAAAGTACATGAAAGAGTTCACACTGGGGAGAAACCCTATGTATGTAATCAATGTGGGAAAGCTTTCAGGAGACAGGGCGATTGTAAAGTACATGAAAGGCTTCACACTGGCGAGAAACCCTATGTATGTAAGCAATGTGGGAAAGCTTTCAGCAGACATGTTTATTGCCAAAGCCATGAAAGAATTCACACTGGGGAGAAACCCTATGTATGTAAGCACTGTGGGAAAGCTTTCAGGACACAGAGTGATTGTAAAGTACACGAAAGGCTTCACACTGGGGAGAAACCCTATCTATGTAAGCACTGTGGGGTAGCTTTCAGGACACAGAATATTTTTAAAGTACATGAAAGGACTCACACTGGGGAGAAACCCTATGTATGTGAGCACTGTGGGAAAGCTTTCAGCACTCGTAGGAAATGTCAAATCCATGAAAGAATTCACACTGCAGAGAAACCCTGTGTATGTGAGCACTGTGGGAAAGCTTTCAGAACATGGAGGAATTGTAAAAGCCATGAAAGAATTCACACTGGGGAGAAACCATATGTATGTGAGCACTGTGGGAAAGCTTTCAGGACACGGAGTTATTGTAAAATACATGAAAGAATTCACACTGGGGAGAAACCCTATGTGTGTAAACAATGTGGGAAAGCTTTCAGGAGTCAGAGTTATTCTAAAGTACATGAAAGGCTTCACACTGGGGAGAAACCCTATGTATGTAAGCATTGTGGGAAAGCTTTCAGGACAAAGAGTAATTGTAAAGTACATGAAAGGATTCATACTGGGGAAAAACCCTAAATATGTAAGCACTGTGGGAAAGCTTTCAGGACACAGAGTGAATGAAAAGTGCATGTAAAGTGCATGAAAGAATTCACACTGGGGAGAGACTGTACGTATGTAAGCAATGTGGGAAAGCTTTCAGGACACAGTATTTATAAAGTACATGAAAGGACTCACACTGGGCAGAAATCCTACATATGTAGGCAATGTGGGAAAGCTTTCAGCATATGCAATAGTTTCCAAATGCATGAAGGCTTCACAATGGAGAGAAACTGTATGTATATAAGCAATGTGGGAAAACTGAGCACACATAGTGCTTGTCAAAGACATAATAAACTTTACACTGGGGAAAAGTCACAGTGGGGTAAACTGTATAGAAGCTCTGTAGGAAAGCTTTCAGCACACATTGATATTGTAAAATGAATGAAAGTTCACACCGGAGAGAAATCCTATATGTAAGCAAGGCAGAAAAGTTTTCAGCACACATGAAAGATGAAAAAACTCACTGAAGAAACTAAAGGAAAGCTTTCAGCAGGTGTAGTACATGTAAAATATGTGAAAGAGCTCACTGGATATTAATCCTGTGCATGTAAGCAGTGTGTAAAGACAGCACAGATGATTGTCAAGTATATGAAAACTCATGAGTTAGAAATCATGCGCATGAGTAATGTGGGAAAGATGTCAGTCCATACATATTTTTAAATGCATGAAAGCCTCACTGGGGGGAAACCTTTTGTATGTAAGCCAATTTTGAAGATCCTGTGAAAATTTGTCATGTAATGGAGACCTGTTGAAATAATTTATATATTAAGTTTGGTGTCAGCATTTCACACATTTTTTGGAAAAAACAAATCCCAGGTGGAGATGTCCAAATGTACAATCATTGTGTGGTTTTCTGTAAATCATGTATATGTATCTAGATTATGTATAAGGTTTAATGTAAAAATACTGAGTTGACATAATTTTGTATTTGAGTTTGTTTAATCTGTAGTGTCTCAGCATGGTGAATTGAAATATTCTTTTTAGGTACAAAATCCCAATGATGAATGTAACTGTACTGTATACCTAAAATGCACCAATAAACTCAATTAGAGAAAAAAAGAAACTTTTCATTTTCAAGTATGGTTAGTGTCTATGTAGTTATTTTATCTGTAAAATTGGAAGGGATAGGGTACTAAAAACTTAATTTTTTAAATTGGTTTTGTTAACTGCTGGGATTTTGTTGCATCTGTTTTACATTTCTGGTGCATATACTGCATTTTTGTGCAACAAGATGTTTTTTTATTTGATGCCAAAGATTATATTAAAATATATTTTCAGAGACTTGTGAGCATGTGTTTTACAAAGTTAAGTTGTTTTCTCACAACTTGTAGATTAGCAAATGTTACATTTTTTATGTCATGAGAAGATACCTGCTTATTCCAACATCATTATGTTATATCATGTACCTAATTTTGCTTACTTTCATACTGAAGCCAATATTCTCATTTACATAAATATTTTACCATCAAAATTTTTTCATCTTTATATTTCAATGACTTTTAGTTTAGGGTTAATCCTTCCACCACATGTACCAAAATAAATGATACTGCTGTGAGTTTCTGATTGCCACAGGGCAGCAGGACCATGACTTGTCTCCAGGATGATATCACTAATTACAGTAATGTCTCCAGAAAAATGTAAATGGTGGTCTGATTAATCAGTAGCAACACTTTCAAAGGAATTTTTGTCAGCTGTGGAGCTGTTTGGGGAGAGTGGTCGCTATTGAATATTCCAGATAACTGTATTCTGTTCCCTGAAACTGTGGTGCCATTCTGTCTTTGGTAATCATTGTTTTTACCTACCAAGCTGAAGTAAAGACATGAAGGAAGTCTTTACTCATGTGAGGTATCAGTCGGTAAAAAGTGAATTAACTAACTTACTGTAATTCATATTTGTGTTCTGTTTTATCCAGTTTTGAGATAAATTTATACAGTGCATCTCTCAGTGCTCCTAATGACCACTGTCTGATGTTTGCAGTATGTGATGAGTACCTTCAAACACACACCAGGCCAAGATGTGTGCAAGAGTCCCAGTTGGGCTTGACCTGTACTTTTAGTATCTTTTTAACATATGTATGATTTGTAAAATGTTTTACACAGTATCCTCATGCACAGAAGCCAGTCAGTTTCTGGTGAGGTTACACTGTTACAAACTGCTGCCGACCGTAGGGCAGCAAACATGGGATTTCACGAGGAGATACAGGTTCTCTGAAAGGTGGGAGCAGGTTTGGCGATGACAGTCAGACAAAAGCACTCAACACCAAGGTGAAGTTTGCAAATGCTGCTGCAAAATTTATTTTTCAAAGAGCTTCTTTTATACAGATTTCTATTTCCTTATAGCAAGTCAGGGGCAATGAGCTGATCTCTCTAGGCATCTGTTTCCGCTTGCTGAGCTGGCGCCTGCCAAATACATCATTATAGAATACATTGTGAAAAGTTAGCAGGAGTTTAAGCTTTCTTTCCATCTTAGCTGATAATATGCCAGTGGCCATTTTTTCCCCCATGATTCATTGTTTCTCAGATGTTTGACAATATGTGGTAATTCTGATGAAGTATCAGTAACGTCTGTAACATTACATGCTATTTTCCTGAGAACTATTTCCTTAAAAGAAATATTCCCCTCCAATGCACCTTCTGTTCAGTTATTATTTGACTGAGAAGGCTGTGTCCAAACAGTGACATTCTTATCCTCCATATCTTTGGGTACATCTAATCCTTCTCCTTCTTGAAAACCACTAGGCATTTTCAAAAAACACAAACACACAGAGATCAATAGAAAATAAATCAAAATTGTAACAGAACCCATTGTCCCCAAGCTGCAGGCGAAGAAACCAGCGATTCCTTCTTTGGCTGACTTTTAATGTGGTGCATGCCAAGGACCTCCAGGAGGCTTGACCCCGAGGGGACGATACCTCAGATCCGGTTTCTGCCAGGTGGTCGGCATTGTCACGCAGATTCCACTGGAGTAGTTGTGGCTACAAACCTAGGGTATCATGGTAACATGAGTGAGCAATGCATTAAATACCCATAGTGCAGTGAGTATAGCTTGTCCTAGCCTTATTTATGCTTAGACACATAGATTATGGGTTGTGTAATATAACCTAAGGTTATGTCTTTTTATCTGAAATACCTGGTATCATTCATGGGATATACACTGCAGAGTACAGTGTCACTCTACCCTACTATGTGTGGTCATTTCTGCTTCTTGCCATCACCGTATGCAGTGTGTATTGCTACACAGCCAGTGATACAACATTGAAACTACTGAGCACATTTTCTTTCCCATTATTTTACTATGAAAAAAACCTTGCTGGCCCTGCTGACGCATGCTTATAACCCTAGAAACCTAAAAGGTAGAAGTAAGAGGGAAAAATAGTTGAGTCCAGCCTACCCAACAGTGACACCTTGTCTCAAGATAGATGTGAAAGTTCTGCAGATGTAGCCCAGTGCTTTGGTACTCCTAGGTTTACTCCCCAGTATCAAAATTTTACATTTTATACAATTACACATTAACGTTTGTCCTTTTCTCATGACCACTTAGTTTTCCCTGAGCATCAGTTGGGCAGCACAATTTTTTATGTACTGACTATCCTGACCTTGCTCGGGCATGTGTCATTTTAAGTAGTCAATTCTTGCGTTGAATAAATTTGATAAAATTGTCATCTTTATTTCCTCTTTATTCTCATAAAAATTAACTAAAGTATGCAATTTTTGGTCATCTTAAATTTAAACAATCGGGCTGGGATGTGGTTATTTTAGTGTTGAAATTTAAGCCAAATGTGAGTCCTTTAGTCCTAGCATCAGAAGAGGTTGAGACAGGATAGTCATGGTTGAAGCTAACTCTGGGGTACAACTTAACTAGATGCCTCAGCAAGAGATGAAAGATTTCTCTATATATCTGCATTTGAAGTTTAGGGAAAGAAAAAAATTTAAATAAACAGGATAAAGTTAAAAAAACTTGAAAATCATGAATTTGTTAGGAAATACTCTTTTCATGGAAATATTTTTTACAGCAGTCATATATAAGCCTGTGCCAGAGTAAAACATAAACAATGAAACATGAATGAAGCAGGCATTCCATGTTCTGTGGAGAGACAAAATTTGTTTTCTCAGTGATGTTACTGGTGACTGAGAAAATAAGGTAGGATGACCCAACAAACAAAAAGGATTATATAGTTTTAAAACTTCTGCACAGACATCAAAGTGGGGGGGGGAATGAAAAAAAAACACTAGGCAAAAAATTTTGCTTGATACTCCTCAGATAATATCTGAATAGATACAGGCAAGTGAAATGAATACACATTGCTTAGAATAAGTACCAATTGCCAGTAAATACCTGAAAAAATGTTGAGCTTATTTTTTTCCAATAGAGAAATGCATATTGGGACACCATCTCATTCCAAAAAGATCACATCGCCAAGTAGTCAAAAAAAAAATTAATGATGCTGCAGGGGAAAAGAACCATTTAACATCACTGGTGGAATGTAATATTTCCACCACTATGGAGGTCAGTATACAAAGTATTCAAAAAACTAAAAGTAGTGTTTCCATTCAGTGTAGTGTTTCCTTTGTGATTCTCTTCCCAAAAGAGTGAAGATACCATATTTCAGTGATTCATGCATATTCCTGTTTAGAGTAGCAACACTCACTTTGTCTTTTGGGCAGCAGCAGTGAGCCCTGATTTGTCAGCAGCCAGACACCAAGGGTCAGCATGTACCCTTCTGTGTACTTTATGTAATAAATTATATGACAAGGCCCTGAGTTTGATCTCTGGCACCAATATATAAATAAATAAAATGAGATTTTTTTATATATTTCATTATGAGATGGGCTCAATATTAGATTATACTTCCTAAATACTGGTCAATAGAAGCATGATAAGCATGTTAATATAGCAAGGGCATCAATATTATGTTCATTAGATGTAGTATATTAAATGCATATTCATTATATTTCAATTTTTTGGTTTGCTCAGATATTTCCACTTTGTACCTCAAGGAACATCTGTAACCACTTCAACTTTATTGAGGTGGTGAGGCACATAACACCAAGGTCATCACCTTCTCTCCTGGGTTCATTGCTGGTAGTCTGAGTGCTCAGTAAAGCATGTATACACATGTATATGAGTTTCTTTTTGTACTTTTCTCATGAAAGATTTTTTAAATGTCCTCATGTAATCAGAGGCTGAATACTCCTATAATGGGTGCCTAAGAGGTTCAACCTGGGAACCACTGACGGCTCAAAAGAAGCCAGAAGCTTAAGAACAAGATGAAACAGTAAAGGAACCACAGCCCACCTGGCAGGTGTTGAAGCACCACAAGGAAGCTGTGCACTGTAGTCTGATGTTCTGGGATGATGACAGTACCAAACATCACACCTGTTTAAGACAGTTCCAGTATGCAGAAGCTTCACTCCCACCTTTTTTTGTCACAATGCAGTCTCTTAGGTGACACCCATTTTCTTTACGACAGTTATTTTCTATTCAGATCAGTGGCCCATGTATCAATTATATTCTCTAGAAGGACACACTCAGGCACAGGTTTTATGGCATGTCTCCATCAAGCCACTCTGATGACACAATTAACAGTCCAAAATCAAAACATCTTAACAAAACTTTTAATATGTCTGTAGTGTATACTTGTTACACTTGTAAGAAAGTTGCACATGTATACAGCACATCTGAACTCTTTATTTTACCTTCCCATGACTTTTCTCCCCCTCTCAACATTTCTTCATTC